AGGCTGAGGTCTGGCTATGAAGCCACACAAGCCTGAGTCATCACCCAGCTGCCTCCTGGCAGATGATCTGTGATTCCCAGACTCTCAGCTTCTCTTCCATTAGCTACATCTTAAATCACATTTTAAGAAAGCCCCCGTAGGCCCCTTGCAAAGATTGAGGCAACACCCTATTTTTATCTACAAAACACCCAGAAAGCATCCCTTGGGCGGGGTATTTCCTGGAAAGATGTTGGATCGCAGTCATTTTATGTTGCCTCTCGTCAGCTCCCAGCTTTTTTATTTTCTGATCTTGTCCCTTAAGTTATTTGCTTGACAAGCTCACATAAGGAGTCGGCCTGGGCCTGGCGCTGGGGGCCCAGCTGGAATCAGAGGCAGCCCTGAGTAACAGGGCCATATACAGAGCTGGCCTCCCAGGCGAGGTGGCTTCAGAGGCACAGGGGACACCGTGAAGGGCAGGGGAGCTCAGCTCTGGGAGGGCCAGGGAGTGGGAAGCCCAGAAGGGTGCACCAGGTAGGAGGGAGGCTGAGACGGCCTGGTGCTCCTGGAGCTGGAGATGGCCTGATGCAGTGCTGGGAGATGCAGTGCTGGGCTTGAGGTCAGAGAGCAGTCACAGCTCTTGCTGCTTGAAGCGGGACTTGAACAGTGTCCTGTGACTCTCGGGCAAGTGTGAACTAGGACATAGTGAACTGTAGTGTTTTGTGCTTTCTGGTCACCTGGCCAGTGGAGAGAGCTGCTAGTGAGCCTGAAAGGGGTCAGAGCTGGTGACTGATGAAGCAGGGGCAGAAGGGTGGCTCACACAGTTTCCGGGTCCCTCTAAACCTGCATGTGTCGCAGGACACTTTTCTGAGCCTAGCTTCCTCCTCTGCGGCACGTGCTGTAGTCTGACTGTGGGAGGTGACGTGGCGGGAGGTGCGTCAGCCTTGGCAGGCAGCGAACGCTCAGGAAACCCCTCCGAGCCATCCAGGACAGTGTCCACCGGTTCACAGAGCCTGGGTCCTCAGGCCTCTCCTAGGAGCCAGGAGTGGGGCCCCAAGAACCGATGTCACTTCCCTGGCACTCCTGACTCAGGCCGGCCACACCAAACCATTCATTGGCCCCCAGCGGGACCTGAGCTCAACCCCTCTCCTCCCGGGCTGGTTCCAGGACAGAAGTGCTCGTTTTAAAGCCAAATTACTTACCTAATTAGGCCCTCCGGAGCTGGCAGGAGGTAGTGGGGGTTTTGCTGAATTTTTTTTTTTTAGACTTTTAGCACTGAAGCTTCGTGATAAAGTGAGTGTGTAATTAGGAATTAATTTCTCACTCCGGAAAGTGATGTCTTATTTGGGGCCTGAGGGAAGTCAGCCGGTTGGCTCATCACCTCTTCCGTGGCCCCTGCCTTACCTTGCCTTTCTCAGAGGGGCCTGGGGACCCAGCACCCACACTGTCGTCGGGGTAAGGGAGGAAGGGAAGATGGTTTTCTTCCTCACAGGTGGCCTCGGCCAAAAGTGGGAGTCATTGTGCATGGTAGCTGGGACAGCTATTCGTGTGTGGGTGTGAGCTGGTGTGCGAAGGCCTGAGGTAGATGGGCAGGGGCTGCCCTGCATGGGCGCCGCCTCAGCCCATCCCACTCCCTCCGCAGGCGGCTCCTGCCTGGGATGGTGCCCTGTCTGCCAGCAGCCTCCCATCTCCCTCCTGGCTGGTGAGAACTGTCCCCAGCTCCACAGGAGCTGTCCTTCCTCCCTCTGGCCAGCTGATGTCACCCCAGCCTCCACCCCGAGAGGGTCCACATCTGAGGTGCACTCCGCAGGGGCTCAGGGCCCCTGGATGCCATCGCAGCAGCAGTCCGTGCGGTGACCTCCTGGTGACCAGCTCTTGCTTGACTTGCTCCCCATCCCCTCCCTCCTGTGCTTCCTGGAGTCGCCTCCCTAGTGAGTGCCTGTCCCCGTGTCCTTGCCCGGGCTCTGTGGTATGAGCGTTTTGGAGGGAGATGGAGCAGAGCAGTGCAGTGGCTTGGTACAGGCAGCGAAGCGGCTCCCTGGAGGCGGAGAGGCAGCAGCACACCTGGTAGGAACAGGGCCTGGGGAGGTACACAGAGGCCAGTCTGGGTTGGGGCTTAAAGGCTGAGGTCGGGGGCTTAGGCTTTGTTCTAAGGGCACTTGGGAGCCATAGAGGGTTTAGAGGAGGGGAGTGACACAGACTGGGTTTCTAGAATGTTTGTGATGACTGTGCATGGCTGGGGGATGAGGAAATAGGAGGCGGGGCTGGCTGCAGCAGCTGTTGGGAGATAGGACCGGTGACACAGTCTGGGACGGGGTGGCTCAGCTGTCAGCAGCGGTCAGCACCTGTCCCAGGGTGGGCTTATTGGCACAAGTCACCGGGAGGATGGCGAGATTCCCAGAACAGCGGTAAGCTGGTGGCTCTTGCTCTTCCTGGGTTCTCCATGTTCTTGTCAAGTGTCCCCCTTCCTGTCCCTGTCCTGTCAGAGGAATGAGAACCACTGGCTTTTTCACTGTGCATCTACTAAGTGCTTCCTGTTCATCATCCATGTGCATTTCAAGATATTAAAATTTTCCTTTAAAGGAAAAAAGAGATCTGTTTTATTTTATAGGTGATGTGTGTGTGTGTGTGTGTGTGTGTGTGTGTGTGTGTGTGAGAGAGAGAGAGAGAGAGAGAGAGAGAGAGAGTTAAGCTTTAGAAGTGTGTAGGCAAATGGACTCTCCAGAAGGATCCAGTGTCAAGATCTTTCAGGCTCTAAAGACTTAGTATCTAGTAACATCTCATTTTTCCCTTTCCACTTGGCTGCCAGGAAGCTCAGAGTGCATCCTCACCCCCAGCTGAAAGGGCCACTGGCCCCAGGCAGCGCGGGGCAGGTGTCAGGGAGAAGCAATGATCGTTCTGAGACCTCCACATTGTGTGTGGCTATGGTTTGTGACTGGGGATCTGTCCTGTTTGGGGCTAAATGAGGAGAGATTGGGGCAGGGCCAGAGAAGTGGGCCACCCTTGAATGGGGGCCTCAAGTGGTGCGAGTCAGGCAAAGACGACACAGAGAGGTCATTAGGACGGCACCTGGCTCGCAGTCAGCCCTGTCTTTCAGCCACTACAGAGCGCCCTTCACTGTTACCCCGAGCGAGCCCCAGCCAACACTAGACGGGCTGCCCTCTGGACCCTGGGACACAGGACACGGGTGGATAGGTGAGGGCTGGGACCCCAGTGTGCCCAGCCAAGTGCACCTGAGCCTGGGGGACAGAGCTGGCGCCCCTGCCTGGCAGGATCCAGGAAACCCAGATGTAGGAGGAGGGTCTGTGGGGGTTGCTGGGAGGAGAGTAGAGCTGGGCTTGGCTCCTGTGCAGGGGGCTCCCCAGGCCCTGGATGTGCGTGTGTCGGAGCGAGCCCCAGTGAGTGCTTGTGCACGCCACCCCCACAGCACCTCTGTCACACGCGTCTCCCTGGAGAGCTCTTTCCACAAAATACAAAGATGACAGCTTGGCTCACCCACGCACGGAATCCTCACCTGGCCCCACTCCCTCCCTGTGGCCCCTGGGCCCCTCCACCCTCGCTCTGTCTTCCCTTCAGCCCACTCAGTCCACCAGGTCTCTGTCTCGGGTTCTGGTCCGTCACTTTCTGGGTCACCCCTGTCTGAATTTGAGCTAAGTAGGAGTGTGCATGTGTGCCTCCTGGTGTCCGAGGAGTGAGTGTGTGTGTGTGTGTGTGTGTGTGTGAGTGTGTGTGTGTGTGCGTGTGTGTGTGTGCAGGTCGGGGGGAGCGGGGGCGGGATGGGGCATCTCAGGCAAAGCAGCTTCTGCTCAGTCAGTCGCTCCCCATGCAGCAGGAGCGGGTGGGACAGGACGGGTTTGCAGGCGGAGGGTGAGGAGGACAGCTGGAGCCCAGTGGGGAGGGCAGGGCTGCTGATTTGTGCCCGGTGGGGGGCTGTCCCTCGCTTTGAAGCAGATAGCCCAGGGTGGGTAGGATTTGGTAGAAGCACAGGGGACCATGGAGGGTCCCCAAAGCTGGCTGTGGGAGACCCCTGGGGGAGGCTGTAGCCCCGGGAGATGTAGATGGTGTGGCAGCTGCCTGAGGAGGCTGGGCAGTGCTGAGGGTCTGCTGTCCTTGCCTTTGTCTCCCTGCCTGGGTTCTCCTGGGGCAGGCTGTCCTGGGCACTGGGGTTCATAAGAGGGGGGTCTCCCCAGGAGAGGCTCTGAGGCCCCCAGGACAGCTGCAGAAAAGCTCAGGCAAGAGCTGGACAGGCATGGGGGGACCCTCCAGGCAGAAGGGGCAGTGTAGGGGCTGGGAGTGTAGGGAGCCCAAAGCTGGCGTCCAGTGGGGCAGGTACCCCTGAGAACCCACAAAGTTCAGCAGTGTACTTTGCTGTCATGTCCTGGGGACGCAGCCTGAGCTTCCTGACCTGCAAAGGGCCTGGCAGGGCCACAGGGCCAGACCTGGTGGGATTCTGAGCTCAGACCTTTACCCATTTTCTAAGTGATCCAGGACACAGAAAGCAACCTCTCTGAGTCTTGTTCTTTCTTCTGCAGATCAGGGCTTTAGCCCTTGGCTTTATGGGCTCCTGGGTGGGAGTGAGGGGTTTACGGCATGGCTCCTCGTGTGACCGGTATGGACAATCCCTGGGGAGTCAGCCTGGGGGCCCCTCGGCACCTCAGTTCTCCTCTCAAGAATGAGTCTGATAGGATGGTCTGGAAGAGTGGGGAGAAGCTCTAGAAGTTGGGGTTGACACAGGCTGGGGGTCAGAAGGGCAGGCCTGAGGGGCAGGGGCTGCCCGGCCCAGGGCTGTCCTTGCAGGGGGCTGATGCCTCTGCCCCACCCCCTCTGCCTCACTGTGTCTGGAATCCTCCCCACGGTTGGTGGTGGCTGTCACCAGCCCCGTGTGCAGAGCGGGACAGAGAGGCCCAGGGAGGTGGCCGAGGCCACACACTGTCTGAGGTGGAGTGGGTGTGGGTGGGCTGGGTGGCCAGAGGCCCCTGCAGGGTCGCATCTGCGCCGTCCCTCACTCTCTCCCCTCTCTGCAGGATGGTCGAGTACTCCCTGGATCTTCAGAACATCAACCTGTCAGCCATTCGCACCGTGCGTGTCCTGAGGCCCCTCAAAGCCATCAACCGTGTGCCCAGTGAGTCGCCCCCTCCCTGTCCCCCACCCCTGGTTGTGGCCCACGTTGGCCGCCAGGCTCGTTCACTCCTGTGCCTGCTGTGCCAGGACAGAGCGTGTTTGGGTGTGAAGACTCTGCGGTGTGGCCCTGAAGCCTGAGTTCCAAAATAACTTGGATTGAAGTATCCTGAGGAGTCTGACTCTTCAGGAACTAAAGGTGCCTTGTGGGCTTCTCAGATCCCTGGAGGTGCACGGGGATGCAGAAAATTGCTTAGTGCGAGGGCAGGGTGTCCCCACTGGGAAGAAGTCCTGACCCCTTACTTGTGCTGATTCGAGCTGTCACTACCCACCCGCAGGACCGTGTAGCCCTCACCCCCTGCCTGCCTACCTGCTCACCCACCTGTTTATCCTTCCTCCTTCCCTGCCTTCCTCCTCCCTCCCTTCCTCCCTTCCACCCACCCCTCCCTCCATCCTTCCCTCCTTCCATCGCCAACCTCAGTGTTAAGAGAGGTCATCTTGTCACCACAAGCCCTGACGTCTGCCCAGCTCTATCCCGTTAGCACCTCTGGGTCTGTGAGCCTCACAGTTGCCCTTGGTGTGGAGTGGGGTGGGCTGTTCTCCATTTAGAGATGGAAATGGTCTTGGATACCTAGGCACCCATTTGAGGACCCACTGCCAGGAAGCGGCGGCTGCAGGGGCCAGTTAGGCCCCGAGCTCCTCCACTGCCCCACATCAGGAGTGGCCTGGGCACCGGGAGGGGAGGAGGGGGATGCTGGCTGCAGGGGCTATTGCACCCTCTGGCTGAGGGACAGGAACTTGTGTGAGCACCCACCTACCCGCCGTGGTCCAGGCACTCGGCAAACTGATGTCTGATCTAATCCTCTCACCAGCCTGTGTGACCCCCCAGAGAGCCTAAGTGGCTCCCACAAGGTCACACAGCGATTCGAAGACAACGCAGCAATCTGAACAGAGCTCTGTCCGTCTTGTGCCTGGCTCTTTCCCTGGCTTGGTGCAGATCCTTGCTTCCCTTCGCTGCCTGGGCCTCTGCTTGCCCATGTGCACCTTGTCCTCTCTGCACAGTCAACGCAGTCCCAGCCCTCCTGCCCCACCCAGCCCCTTCTCTGCCATCCTGTGCACCTGCATGGGGGCGCTGGCCCGACTCTGGGCTCGTAAGCCTGGACAGGACATTTTCCGAGCAGGGTGACCAAGAAGAGGCTGGAGCTGGCTGGGCCCAGAGAGTGACTTGATTCCTGCTGTGTTTGGAGTGGGGCAGCTGGCAGAGGGGCCCTGGAGCCAGGTCTCGAGGTGGCACATACAGGGTCACCCTGACTCAGTAGGAAACTCTAGGGCGAGGAGAAGTCTGGGAGGTGTGAAAGCCAGCACCATGGCGGAGCGGAGGAGCTGTTCAGTCTGACCTCGGGGCCAGGGAAGGGACATCTAGAGAGGCTGTGGTGAGGCAGCTTCACTCTGTCCTTCTCACCCCCCCCAATCCTAGAAGGCTCCTTAGAGACTTCCTGGTTCAAAATCATTTTTTCCCCACCTAACAAACAGGAAAACCAGCCCAGATGAGGCCATCACCAGCCAAGGTCACACAGCAGGTCCATACCAGGGACCAAGTTTCTAACCAGAGATTTCCCCCAGCTGTGTGTGTTCTAGTCCCTCGTGCCCCACCTACCTTACCTGAGAAATGGGCCAAAAGGTGGGCTTCATCTGCTCAGCACCCAGAACTGGGCTAGGTGTCGACAAGGCATCCCCAAATCATGCTGGAAGTGTGCACATGCAGCAAGCTTGGGGAGCAGCCGTTTTGTGCTGGGACCTCAGGGCTTCAAATGCTCAGCCCGTGGTGCTGGGGTGACTGGCCGGGTGACCCGGGCCTCCCCGAGGAGGTGGAGTATGAGCTGAGCCTATGGGTTCACCGGGCAGTGGGCAGGCCCAGAGCTGGGCGCTTGGGGCATAGTCATGGGGCACTGGGATGGAGAGGACAGGGCTGGTCTTGTGTGCCCGAGGGGCCCATGGGGGCCATGGGAGAGGTTAGCAGGGGGCCACATGGTGTGGTGGCCCCAGAGGACACCCTGGGGAATGCAGGAAACAGATGGAGGTGGTGCTTCTGTGCCCAGCCAGGGCCTGGAAGTCACTGAGTGTCCGATTTGTGTGACTTAGGGTGGGGGGGTGCACAGCAGTGTGGGAGCAGAGCGGGGAGCTCTGCCTCTACTGGGCCCCCTCAGCAGATAACCATGCACACCACTCACACCCCTGGCCATGGAGCCCGTAGGTCCGTCCTCTTGTGGGGCTGTGTGTGTGATGCTGAGGGTTGCACACAGACAGGGGCGTGAGAACACGGGAGCTTGTGCTGCGAGCATCAAAGCAGGTCTTGGGCGAGCGGGGCAACAGCAGTGGGAGGGGACACGGTTGAGTGGGAGGAGGCCCAGGGGTGCGGGGCAGACACTCAGGCTGCAGGCCACACACTGGCTGAGTGGCTTCTGTGCTCCTGCGTGTGGGGGTGAGGACCTGTGTGTGTCTGTGCGCATGTGAGCTGTGTGTGCGTGCGTGTGAGAGTGTATATGAGGGTGTGTGTATGTGGGGTGTGCACACGTGAGAGTGTGTGCACAGGAGGGTGTGTGTGTGTCATGTGTACCTGTCACTGCAATGCACTCATGGGAATGTCGGCGCTGTGCCTCTCCTTCCCTTTGTGGCCCCTGCCCCCCACCCTCTGTGTGTGGAGCTCATTAAGCAGCTGCTAACTATGGAGGTCACTCCCTTCCACAGTGCCAGCCTGCCGCTCTCTGGAGAAGGGCAGGATCAGCCACAAGCCCAGCATCCCTGTTTCTGGAGGCTCTAATTGCAGAAGCTGTGCGCCCAGAAAGCCAGAGAGGAGCCGCCTGTCCTCAGGGCTTCCTTCCTGCAAATGGCCCCCCTGGGGGACGCGGATTCTTTCTAAGCAGCCCCACCTCACAGAGCCCAGTGTCCTCCGGGAGAGGCTGAAGTGGTAACCTCCAGAGCTCCACTGGGTCTTCACGGGAAGGGACCTTAGATAAATTGCTGTCCGAGATCACTGTAATCAGCCGGAGCCAGAGCCTTTAGAGATTCCTCCAGATTCCACTTTGTTCCTGGGTGCCCCTGCTCAGGGTCACCAGGGAATGAATGACTTGGGAGGGGGTGTGGGATCCTAGAAATGCTTCCTGGAGGGTCTCTTCTATTTCTAAACAAGAGTTTCCCAGAAACTTCCCTAGTTCTGCCATCTTTAGGGTTGTGTCTGTCCTGGAACGTGTTCATCAGTAGCCTGCAGCTCTCAGTTTTGCCACTAGATGGCAACCTAGAGAGTGGGTACAAGGCTAAATCAAGCAGGGGGTGGGGTTGGGGTGGGGGGTATTGATTGCAGAACTGCGGTGAAGGGAGGGAGCCTGCCATTTAGAATTCTGTGGAGGTCTAGGCATGGTAGATCATGACTGTAATCCCAGTACTCTGGGAGATTGAGGCAGGAGGATTGCAAGTTCAACTCTGGCCTGGGCAACTTGGTGAGACACTGTCTTAAAATTTTAAAAAGGGCTGGGAGTAGGGCCAGGGATTTAGCTCAGGGGTGCCACCATGTGCCTTGCAAGCACAAGGTCCTGAGTTCGATCCCCTGTACTCCCCACCCCCCAAAAGAGGGCTGGGAATGTAGCTCAGTGCAGAGACCTTAGGTTGAATTCCCAGTACCACAGAAACCAACCAACCAATTAGCCAACCAGCGTGGGCTGCAAAGCCCCAACACTACCAGTCAGGAAGATGCATTTGGGGGTGAAGGGACGCAAGTTCTGGTCTCAGTTCTGCCATAAGCCTGCTGTGTGACCTGGGCCTCAGTTTCCCTACTAGCACAGTACAGGAGAGGGACTGAGTTAGATGCATGGCTCTCAACTTTGTCTAGGATGGGTAGGGACCTGGACTTCAGTGCTCTTTAAGGAGTCTTGTAAAATTAGTCCTTCTGCGCCACCCCTGCAATCTGTGTCCTGGCCCAGCTCTGATGGGTAAAGGGAAGGAGACAGCCCACAGAGGCAGGCTGCAGAGGGAGTGAGGGAGGAAGCTCTTGAGTCAGGAGTCCCTTTCTGTTTTTGTTTTGTTTTTTTAAGCAGTACTGGGGATTGAACCTAAGATCTTCACACTGAGCTACAGTTCCAGCCCTTTGTTTATTTTTTATTTTGAGACAATCTTGTTAAGTACTAAGTGGCCTACTCTGGGCCTGAACTTGTGATCCTCCTGCCTCCCAGAATGCTGGGTTTATAAACATGTGCCACTGCACCTGGCTTTCCTCATCTCTTGCAAGATGTGCTCTTACTCCAGTTAGAAACCGGGGCAGTCACCATGGAGGTCCAGACCCTACCCACACTGCCTCTAAGCTGCCGCACCCCAACTTCAGACCCTATACTCAGCCCCATCTCAGCTACTATCCAACTCCGGGTGGCCCCTGGACGAGAATTCCTTCTCAGAATGACTGTGGGGAGATTTATACTGGATTGGGTCTGGGAGAAAGAACTGTGCCACAAGACACAGGGGTCTCTGGTTTACCCCTGGAGCAGGTGTTTCCTTAGGGGTTGGTGGCAGCAAAGAACTGTGGGGGCTTCCCTGCCTGACCACAACTGAGACTTTGTCCTTGGCAGCTCCTGGGGAAAGGAGAAGGAGACGGGCTGGAGGTGGGTGGACAGAGAACGTCGTCTGGCCAGGTGACTTGGGGACAGGAGCGAAAGAGCAGCTGGGGCTGTGGAAGGAGCTGTGTGGGGTCTGGCTGGGCACGAGCAGTGCCTGGGAGCAAGAGCTAGGACCTGCAGGGTGGGGTTGATGGGCTCCCTCACCAGGGCCACGGGTTTGGCTGGGGCCAGCAGGGGTCCGCTGGCGGGGAGACTAAGTCACAGCCCCTCCTGCAGGCAGACACCTGAGTCAGGAGGTGCGGGCCTGGGAAACGGCCGGCAGCTGTGATCTCGGCAGCCCGGCAGTCTGCTGCCTGGCCCGGCCTCCCTGGCACCCACTGTGCCCCTGATTAGTTGGCATCAGCAGTGGCAGGAGCAGCAGACGGCGTCTCCTGGTTGCTCAGTGCTTTCTGCCATGCCGGCCAGACCAGAGAACATGGAAGCCTGGGGGCTGGGCCACAGCCTGGCGTCCTACTTCCTCACCACGGGCGGCGCCCCTGGCACAGGCTGGCCTGTGGCTGGTGCTGTCTACTTGAGCTGGCAGAATGGCCGAGCTGATCTGGGCTGACAGCTCTGTCTGCAAAGCCCAAACTTCTAGGGGAGAGGCTGGTCTTGAGGGGCACCCCTCCCCCTGTCACCTCCTCTATGGCGGCCCAGTTGCTGTTCTGCTTTTCCCTTGGAGCAGAGGTCGGGCAGGGTCCCCAACCTTAGGGCGGTGGGGGGAGAAGTGCCCTCATTTGCCACCCTTCACTGGCCTTGGTCACATCCTCAATCTCAGTGTCAGTGAAGAGACAAGCAGGGAACCGACACAGGTATGGAGTGGGGGACAGGATGGGGGCGGTATGTGTGAGGATTTCTCTGCCAGTGAGTGTCTGACCTCTGAATCCTCCTGCCTCAGCCTCCCAGAATGCTGGCATTATAGGTGTGCGCCACCACACCCAGTTTACAGTTCCCTTCTCTAGATGAGGCCACTGGGGGCCCAGAGAGGGCAGTTTTGCCTCTGAGTCACCCAGCCTGAATTGGAAACCAGTTATGTTCTAGTTCGTCTTCCCTCTTAGGGCTGGAAGCAGGTCCTCAGCCGTACTTTTGGGGTCATCTGGCTGAGTGGGGAGGGGCTGCGGAAGTAGGGAGGCTGCCTGGAGGAGGGATTGCTTGGCTGGGGAAGGTGGAGGGAGGTTAGAGATGCAGAGGGTGATGTGAAAGGTGGTTTGCTTTGTCTGTCTGTCTGTCTGTCTCTCCTATGCCTCTGTCTCTCTGTGTGTCTCGTCTCTGTCTCTCCTCTGCCTTTCTCTGCCTCTCTCTTTGCACAAGTACACACCAGTCCACCCCTGCATCCACCCCTCTCTGTCTCTCCTCTCTCTTCCAGTCCTCTTGGGTTTACTTGCTGCGTGTCTGCCTCCCTCTTCTCCCACCTCTGTTCTTTGCCTCTATTTCTCCTCTGCTCACCCGACCTCCCACACCTCCTGGGCAGGCACCATGGGAGCAAGGAAAGAGCTGTAGCCATCTGACCAGGCTCGGTGATTACTTAACTGAGGACACAACAGACACAACTGGGTCTCTCAGCTCCTCCCTGCCTCCTTAATCCTGCAGGCCCCCTTTCCTGGCACTGAGCTCCTTCTAAGTCCCTAATTAGCTAATTATGCCTGTCTTTGCGGCCCTGGGATTCCAGGGGCCCCTGGGAAGGCTGCGGAGGGAGCTGTGGCCCAGCTGGGCAGCTGGAGGCAGGAGGGGAGAAGGCAGCTGGGCAGGTTTCAGAGCCCTTTGGAATTTCAATATCCCGGAGAACAAGGGAAATGTAATTAATTGAGCAACAAAGGCTTCGGAGGAGCAGCCTTGAGCAGCGGGCTGGGGCTGCGCCAGCGCCTCCTCCCAGCCCTTCTGGTCCAGCCTCTCCTCCAGCTGCTGCCAGCTGCTGCCCTGGCCTCTGCCTGGCCCGTGTTGCCCCTTCTGAGCTGATCAAGGCCCCCGCCTGCTTGGAAATCTGCTGACAACAACAGTGACCAGATTTCTGAGGCCCACACTTCTTCGTCCCTCCACGGGGACCCCGTGGGTCCCCACATGCTGTCCCGCCTGGCGAACACCTCTCCTGCAGGGCCCAGCTCAAAGCCCGCCTCTCCCCAGATGTGTCCTGGGACACATCTTGCGCTGCTCAGCACTGTGTTTCCTGGGCCGCTAGGCTGAGTGTTTGGGGAGGTGGACGAACTGGGTCTTGTTCTTTTCTGGATTCCCTGAGTGCTCAGCACCATGCTGGGCGTACCGCAGGCGGCCACTGGGTGTTTGAGAAATGCGCGTGTGCACATATGCGTGCGTGTGTGTGTGGAGGGGCACAGGAAGGCATGCGTGGATCATGCAGGGATCTCGTGTTCCCCTTTGGGGGCCAAGAGGAGGTGGGGCAGTGGGCCCCTGGGAGCTCTCAGAGGGGGTGCCGCAGCCTGCCAGGGAGCCCCACTGCTTCCCCGAGAGGAAGCTGGCCTAGTTTTGTGGGGAGGGAAGATGGGGGTGGGCATTAATTATTGATTGGAAATCACTCCACGTAGAGTTGGTGTGATGCACATCCCAAATACTTAGCCTCGTTAATAACCACCTCCGCACCGCCCCCGGCATAAGTGAAAATCTGCCCAGGACCACTGTGCTCCATCGTCCCTCCTAGCCTTCCTCTCTTCTCACGATTTATTGCATCACCGGTTCATGGCAGTCATTCAAGGGATGTTGGCTGAGCCGGGACCTGCTGGGTTCTTGGAACACTGAGGTAACTCAGACACAGACCTTGCTATCAGGAGCTTATAGCCCAGTCGATGAGACAGAAGGGCAAACAGACAACCATATCCGCAGGCTGGAAGGCTAGATGTTGATGTCAGTGGGACTTTTTAGGGTGTGCAGTGTACAGTCTGCATGACTGTACACGGCAGCCTAGGCTAGGTCAGAGGTGCTGAGATTGCCTGAGAGATGAACTCTGTCTGGAATGGAGGGAGAAAGGGTCTGGAAGGCTTCACAGAAAAAGCTTTCACATGGCAGTGGTGTTTGAATAGGAATTTGCTAGGAAGAGTGAACAGCATGGGTAAAAGAATGGGTTGTGAAGGAGAGCTAAGGTTGATGTCAGGCCACCTGGTTTAAGGCCAGACCTCACTGCTTCTTTGCTGTGTGACACGCGGTTTCAGTTCTTGGATTTCCCACCGTTTCCTGGTATAAAACAGAGATGGTGCTACCAGGCCCATAGACCCAAGGGAGCCTGTGTGGCCATAGGCGAGTCCCATAAATGCCTCGTGGTTCAGCTGGGATCTAGTGTAAGTGTGACAGGGCCCAGAGCCGTTTCCCTGGCTTTCTGGGAGAGGAGCAGATGAGAAGGTGCTCCCAGCAGGCTGGGGCAGGAGGAGCCCCTGCCCCTGTGCCCGCCCCACTCGCCCGCCCTGCTCCTGCCTGACCCCACCCTCTCCCCCACAGGCATGCGGATTCTGGTAAACCTGCTCCTGGACACGCTGCCCATGCTGGGCAATGTCCTCCTGCTCTGCTTCTTTGTCTTCTTCATCTTCGGCATCATCGGTGTGCAGCTGTGGGCCGGCCTGCTTCGCAACCGCTGCTTCCTGGAGGAGAACTTCACCATGTGAGTGAGCCCTGGGGCTTCTGCTTCATGCCTGACCCCCACTTGGGGATGGGGGTCCGGAACCCCCCAGGCAGGAGCAGCAGACAGAGGAGTGCCAGGCTTAGAGCTGACCCTGTTGGGGGTGCTGTGGGAGGTGTGGGGTGTAGGAGGGATGGGCTGAGTCTACTCCCTCTGGGTCTAGTTGGGGAGAGTGGGTTGGGGAAGGCCAGCCCATCTGTCCATTGCTGCGGAGGCTCGTGGGATGCATTGGTGGACCACAGAGGGGGCACCTGGGAGTGAGGCCCCATGTGGGTTGGGTGGGGGATGTGTACTTGGAAGAGGCCAGTCTTGAGCCAGTGGGGCAGTGGGGGCCATGGCTGCTTCTCCTGGTCCGCTTGCAAAGGCAGGTATGAGCAGGTGTGGGTGCTCCGCCTGGAGGCCCACTGTGCACCCAGCCCCTCTGTTCTGTATGGATCCGTCCTGTATCGTTCTGTAGCCAACCCCTCTGATTACCTGGGCTCGGGCAGTCTTGGAAGCTTTCTCCTTCCTCTTCAACACCGCATCCCCCAAAAGGTTCCTTCCCGGCCTGTTCCTCTCTGCAGTCAGTTTAGGTGTCCGTCTGTCTGCTGATGTGGGTTTTGGTTGTTGTTGGATGTCTTGGGACCAGTTTGCTTGGCTGGTCTTGGAGGGCCACCAGAGTGCAAGTCCTCCAAGAGGCTAGGGATATTTGCTCCTTACTCTTCCTATGGCTGAGAACGGGCTGGGAAAGGTCGTCCTCAGCTGATTGTTGAATGAATGAGTGCATTTCCTACTCCAAGGCAGGGGAACAGCGTGGTAGTTCTTCTTGGCCTCGCAGGCTAGAGATCCCACATCTCAGATGTGTTCTCCTATTGTCCTGCCCTGGCCCTGGGCAGTGGCTCCAGTTCTGTCTCGGCCATGGTGAGGAAAAGGGTGGATGCTGTGACATGCTCCAGCTGCAGAGTCACAGGAGAGCGTTGGCCGGCCCACCCCAGAAGGGGAATTCTAAGTGGGAAGAGATGTGAAAAGAGCTAGGGACCCTCAGAAGAGAGATAAAGCGGAGACGAGCTGGTGATCCATCCCTCTGCTCCTCCGCTGGGGTGTCACTCACTTAGGGCAGGTGGCCTTGAATTACAGGCCATACAGAGCTGGGGCACTGCTGTTGTTGCATGAAGGAGACCGGCAAAGATTAGGTCTGGGTGGAGAGCAAGGCCAAGGTCATCCCAGGCCTTCAACCCCATAGCAAGGAGGTGGGGAAGAGGAGGGGTGGTGATGAGGTTTAGACGGCAACTCAGAAGACCCCAGCCAGGGCTCGGAGTGGAGCATCTGGTAATCAAGACTCGCAAAGAAGTGGCAGGGGCCCAGTGCCTGAGTGCCGTGGGATTGAGAGCCCAGAGGAGGCCTGAGGCCAGCACAGCGGTGGGCGCGGGGCCAGAACGAATCCCCAGGGATGGGACGCTGAGCTGAGCCATCCTCCTGGCGGGTGGGGCGGGCTGGGGGGGTTGTTCCTGCCAGAGGCCCCGAGGCTGCAGCGTTGTGTGGGGTAAGAGCAGGGGCCCATCTTTCGGGGTCAGATTCTGCCCCTGACAGATGTGTGACCTTGGGAGCAAGAGGCTGAAAGACCCTGTGCCTCAGTTTCCCTCCCATAGGGTTGTTGTGAGATGAGCCCAGTTAGAATATGTAGGGTCTTAGAGCAGTGCTTGGGCCTAGGCAGCATGGAGCAAGTGTGAGGCTGCGTGGGTTGACTCCTGCAGCCCGGAAGACACCTGTCTCTGTCTTTCATTGGCCTGGGAGCTGAGATGGTACTGGGGTCACAGGTACGTGAAGCCATCCCGGGCGTCCCAGGGCTGGCTTGGGACTGGTGCACGATGGTGCACAGACACACACAGAATGGCAGTTTGGGCCCAGAAGACAGTCCCCAGTGACGACGGCTGAGACAGCTGGTGTTTATAGGGCGCTCAGCTTGTGCTGGATGCTACTTTCGTGAGGGGAGATGAGAGGAGTGATCCTCACAACACCCTGGGAGAGGAGTATGTTATCATCATTGTTTTCCACTTGGCTCAGAGAAGTGAGGCTGCTTGCCCAGGGCCACACAGCATGTAGGTTGCAGAGCTGGGATTTGGAACCAGGCTGTCATGAGCACCAGGGCCTGTGCTAGCTGAGGGCAGTGGAGGCTGTGGGTGACCTGGGGAGGGGCTGGCAGAGCCGTGGGAGGAGGAGAAGGCTGGAAGGTGACCATGGGGCCTAGCTGGGTTGTGCAATGTCACTGGTCCACAGAGGTGGGACTTCAGTGCCCACTTCGCGGGGCTAACGGGGTGGCAGAGAGCTCTGAGGGAGAGCAGGCCTGCCAGGCAGGGGTAGAGCCACACTGGCTCCTGTGTCCCAGCTCTAACCCGCTGTCCCCATCTTGCACCCAAGGATTCGGGGCTCCGCTGCCCAGATGGGTGTCCATGGGGGCCTGGAGCTTTTCCAGTGTTGTGTGACTCTGAGAGCTCTGTTCAGGAATTTTCAGGAGTGATTAAGTCTAAAGAGGAAAACTCAAATTGGAATAAAATATTTGCGGTACAGGTAACCACCAGAGGACTCAAATCCAGAATAAAGAACTACTAGAAACTGATAAGGACAAGAAAGAGGTCTAATTAAGAATGGCCTGTAAGACCTTAACAGGCTACACAAGGGGCCACCAAGCAGCTGATAACCATGTGAAAAGGTATTTGTCATCATTGCTCTTCAGGGACAGAGATAAGAAACCACAGTAAGACACCGTGACGCCCCAGCACAATGGTTAAAATCAGAATACGGACAGTGGCGGTTGTTGCCAAGGATATGAACTAGGGACTGTCCAACTGTGCTGGGGGGTTTGATGTGGCCCTTGTGGAAGGCTGGGAGAACCTTAGCTGCCACTGGGTTTGGTCAAAAGAAAAGATGCCTTACATTCACTCATCGACATGAATGAGAGTGTTTGTGAGTCATAAGGGCCCCAAACCCAGAAATGATCCAAATCAGTAGCTGAATAAGGGCCGGGGATTTAGCTTAGTGGCACCATGCCTGCCTCAAAAGCACTAGCTGCCAAGTTCGATCCCCTGTACCAAAAAAAAAAAAAAAAAAAA